TTTCAAGACCCAAACCAGCTGTAAAATCCTGCAGTAAAATTCACATTTACTGAGTTGATGAAGTTCACAGCAGCTTAGTCCAATATAATCACAAATGCATGGTTTTCTTATGCAGCCTAAAGTCAATCCATAATCCAACCTGAAATGTTTTAAATACTTACGAAAATCTGTATTTATCTCCACTGAGTAATTTTTTGGAAAAGACATTCTGCAGACTGGTAAAGAAACAAAAACACAATGTTTAAGCAAACTCACAGCAAAAAGGAATCCATGATCACTTGACTTAGTTTATTGTCTATGGAAATATCAAAATAAAAAACTTGTCATTTTCCTAGTTCCAAAGACAGAAAGAACTACAAGCAATGACTTTACTCAATCTATAAGAAACATAACTCCTTTATTCCACACACAGAACAGCTGCTAGGACTTACCAGTCCATTATATTAGTAGATAAAGCTGCCGAGAAACCTAGAATGTTGAAGCTTATTTCAGTAGCTGTACACAGAGCTAGCCCACCCATAACTGGAATGAGAGAGAGATTAACCAGCAATCCTGCAAATGGAAAGAAATAACAAATTAACTCCAATTACTATACTCCTAATGCCAAACATGAGACAACACAGCTTTAAGTTTTAGTTTCCCCACAACTCCTTTATTTCAAAGGAGAAATAATTTGATCAGATTTACTGTTCTATCAGAATGATTCTTCCAGCTGCTTGAAACTGTCTGCCATACGTCAGTGACATCTCCCTGCCCACAGCCCAACAAGTGACAGCATGACACAAAACAAGTATTTTTAAAAGGAAACATAAATACTGAAGTGCTCACCAGTGTATTCCCCCAATATCATCCGAGACATGATAACAGTAAAAATAGGTGCAGAACTTTTAACTGTCTCTGCAAATGAAACTGCCACATTTTTCAAGCTGACGAGCCCTAAGACCACTGTTGCAAATCTGAAATTGAAAAACACAAGAGATTAAGCAGAAGATACAACAAAGCTTTAACAGCTATGCTCTGTGAAAGCAAGAAAGAGAGGGAAGAGAGCATAAGAACAGTGCTTCTGACCAGAAAAATGCCATGAGCCAAAAGGATAGAACTCCAATTAAAGGTTTACCTCATCAGTCCAACAAACAGCATTATCATGATGAAATTGGGTGGGTAAGAGATGCGTGTTTTGTGCTGGTACAAGCAGCATGGAACAAACATTTTTATACAACCAATAAAGGTGGTTGAAAGCATTTGAACAGCACCTAGAGAGATGGGAAAAAATGTCAGGTGATGATGGGAACGCCACATAATAAGCAGCATGAGAGAATTTTGTAAACAAACTGGTCTGTAGTGACTCTAGGCTTGATGAATTCTCACAGCTCTTTACTTTTGCACCCACCAGCAAGGCAGCAGAATAAATCAGATAACTCAGTCCACAGATAGAATTTTTTAAGTTCTCTTATTAAAACAAATAAGGAAAAATAAGCCCAGTGAATAACAGATGTCACAGAGGGCAGCTTCTGCACTTTTACATAAAAACTGTTAATCAAACAAGTTAATCAGCACTAGAGACTGTCAACAACTGACTCAATTTTATTATATTTTTCAAGAGCCCACACTGCCCTCTGGCACAGAAAAGTGAACATTTAATTACATTTTTTGTTCTCTAAACACTCTCACAGCTCCTGTCCTCCATGTGGATAGATGAGAGGAGAGAAGGCAGGCTGTGATCACACACACAGGTTCTCAGCCCCAAGATCCACCCCCACATCTCCTAACTTGGTCCTTCTGAGGGAGCAAATTGTTCAGCTAAAGGGAACTTTACATGCAAGGATCTGATATAATCAAATATTTTACTGGAACTGAAGCATAAAAGAAAAGCAGGGTTACCTAGCATGCTGGGTTCTCCTTCCAGTAAGGAAAGGATGTATTTGTTAAGAAAAAGAGTGCAAAAGCTGAAGAAAAACCACAAAGTGAGGTAGATGAGAGCATGAGAGTTCCAGATGCCCAAGTCTGACTCGATGACCGTGGTCTCTGTGATAGTTATTTTCAGAACGTTCTCTTCTGGCACACTATCACTCCTAGCAATCACAAATTTTTCACTCCTGTTAGCAAAGAGCGAGCCCAAATTAAATAGTGATTTTCCCTTTGGCTTTTCTTCAAGGAGAGGAGGGTTGGGTTCCTCCGGCGTCTCAGCACTCGTCACAGTCGACATAGTGACACAACACAACTGCCTGTCCTTAACACAAAGCAACACTGACTTCGTAGGGAACAGCACGTGGAGAGAAGAAAAATATCATGTGATCAATCTTTCATCTCCAGTGGTCTCCAAAAGTGTATTTGGTCCTCCAAGTAACATCCTGTATGAAAATCAACTTTAGATGCCTCTTCATGTGCTCTATTCCATTTTTTTTTACCTAAGAATGGAAAAAAAAAAAAAGAGAAAGAAAGAAAACCAAATATAGCAGCACACATCAATCCAGTACTACAAAAATATCACATTCATTCTGAAAGATAAAAAAGACCTCACTACCCTCTCTTTCAGAATGCATTTTGTACTGCTAACTTGACAATGACCTTTACTTTTCTCAAGTTAAACAACCTTTGGCATCATAATGCTAATAATGTGCAAAGAAAGAAAGGGAACCTGAGAAGCTTAACTGCATTATTAAAACATATGATCAGAATTAAGTGCTTTCTATTTTACAGACTGTGTTTTATGAGCAAAAGCAATCAGAATTAATCAGATGATTCTAAAATGATGAGTCATCTTTTGTTCCTAGATAAGGAAGCAGTAGAAGAAATGAGAGCTGACAAATCCAAAAGCACATTTCTTGGATGGGCTGTATGGAAGGCCTTGCACAGTTAAAAAGCAATTACTGGGGGCAGCTGATCACTGAACAGCTTAGTAAAGCTCTCTGAAATAAGACTGTAATACCACAGTGAATCAAAGAATGGCAGCACAGGAAATAATTAATGGCAAGCAAAAATAGCAAGGTTCTAACAAGACCTTATGCACCTGCCCTGATTTTGCTAACATATGAACAGCATCCGTTTTTTTCTTCACGATTTTGTAATGTTTGATACAAAGATGTACTAAGAGTTAAATACATTGTGCCATTCATTCCCATATCCTGCTTTACACTGAAGTTTTCCACTCCTAGTGTAAGCTATTTCTCTTATTACAGCCACATAGGGACCATTTCCACCCCATCACCTTATCCTTTTCCGTTTTAGCAGGAAATCAAGCCAACACATTGAGGTACAATGCTTCTGCAAGCTTGTGCTCAACCATATATTCATGTTTACCCCACGTACAACAAAACCAGCCCACGTGAAATAAATAGGCTGTATGGGGATTTGTTCCAACAACCTGATCTTTGATTTCTCCTCTTCCAAGCTTTCATGAGAAACAAACAACAGAAGAATCACTATACATTCAGAACAGTTCATTACCAAAACTTAGCTTTTTTTTTTCCTATTTACATTGCTCAAGTAAAAACAAAAACAATTAAGCCCAACAAAACCCCCACCCTGGGCAGCACCACATTATCATATTTGATATCCCCAATTCCACTAGTGGAAGCAGAAAAGCAATAAGAAGAATAAAACCACACCTCTGAATTACTGACCTGCTGTCTTACATCAGCTGGAAAGCTTTAAATTGGCTGGAAGAGCTTTCCATCTGGAAGCAATTCAATCCTCCTCCCATAAGAGCAACCAGCAGCTGATGTTTACCAATAGATGAAAACGTGGCAGTAGCTGGTAGACTGTTTCTGTTGGATTACACACAACATGGAATCTTCCAGCTCACAAGAATGAACAGCATGCAGTGCATTTTAAACTCTTCCTTCTATCTTCTCCCATTTTAGACTACATTACTAATGAAAAAAAAAAAAGTGTTGTAGTAAAGGTGAAAAGATAACCTTTGAGAGCATCAAATTTTGACTGATGAGTAGCAGCTAATTGTTTAAAATATCTTCCCTTAGAACTGAAAAACTAAAATTATTTAAAGATAACACATACAGCGACAAGGAAAAATGCAGTAATGTGAGGAAACACAACTTAATGAGAGGAAATATGACCTTTTTCTTTTTTTAAAGCTGCACCTACTATGCCTGGATACAATTTATTGCAAACATGAAAGATAACATTTCCAGCACCACAGATGCTGGGGTGGCACACAGCCACGTGTTTGGATGCAGAACTCCTTGGTGATGCAGCTGCCCTCAGTGCAGGTACCTGTTAGTCAGAAGCTCTCGCTGTGCTGTCAGCAGTGGAGCACATTCTGCCCATCGCTGTTACACGTCACCCAGCAGCTCCCGATAGCGTTCGTTGGACGGGCAGAGCTTGGGGCTTCAGCACGACCAGCATCTGGCAGAAAGACAAGGCGTTAGGAAGGAGGGGTGGGAAGAACCGCGGCTTTGTCTGTGCATTAAGATGGATGTCTTCTTTTGTTGGTATCCACAAAAAAACGCGAGGAGCAGGAACGCTAGAAGCGGCCACTTCTGAAACCGAGCTTAGTCGGGCAGCGAGGAGAGGCCGGGATGCAGACACGCCCACGTGCCCTTGGCAGCTCAGCATCCGAGCGAGCAGCCGACGTTATTTCACTGAACGACAACAAAGCACAAAGGCGTACAGACCGCGAACACCATCTCAGAGCTACTAACGTCTCTCGCGCAAAGAAACGCTCACAAACAGCCGAACGTTTTCCCGCACACCAGCGGCACTCCGCCCGCCCCTCGCGACCCCCGCGGCCGCCCCGAGCAGGGAGCAGCAGCAGCGGCAGCCTCCCGCCTCCCTTCCGCCCGCCCTCATCCCAGAGGGTTCGAAATGAAAGGGAAGGAGGCTGCGCTCACTGCCGGCCGGTCAGCAGCGCTCCGCCCGCCGTACCGAGCCGCCCTCCCGCGTGCGGCACAGCCCGGGCGGCCGCCGCCCAAAGCCGCGGGCGGGAGCGGGCCGAGGGGCGGCCCCGCATAGAGCCCGGCACCCAGCCGTGCCCAGCCGCCCCGCGCCGTGCGGGAAGTGACGTCCCGCCGCCCCGGAAGGGCGGGCGCTGCGCGGCGCGGCTCAGCCGCCGCAGCCATGTAGCTGCCGTTAGCGGAGGGCGGCGCGGCCGGCATGGAGCCCGCCGAGGAGAGGTGAGAGGTAGCGGCGCGGCTGTGGGCGCGGAGCGGCGCGGCTGTGGTTGCGCCCCGCCGTGACGCCGCTTTGCTTCTCTCTCCCTACAGCGGCCCCGCGCTGCCCAACCTCACCCCGCGGCACCGGGAGCTCGTCCCCACGCCCTGCGGCCCCGTGAGTAGCCGGGCGGTTCGTGGCGGTCAGGTCCTTCCCGCAGGAGAAAATGTGTTAATTACAGTCGTTCGGTCAGACCCAGGGCTACCCGCGGTTCCTTCGCGTGTGGTTTGGCTGGAGCTCGTTCCTTGGCTGCTTTTCATAGCTGCTGCCGTGTGTTTATGGCTGCAGATCAAGCCCGGTACTAAACAAGCACTGCCCCCATTGAGTGAAGGCCAGCCTCGCTCCAAAGCAAGCAGCACTTTCTCAATTACTTTCAGTTGGTTTGGTTAAATTAAACCGTGTTATCAATGCGGTGCATGGAAAGACTTTGTGTATAAGGATGTTTTGTATAGCAGCAATGTGACTAATGTAAGATGGTAGCTCAGTAACAGTGCCATAGCTGACCTCTGCCTGCAGGTGACTCTCCAGGGCCATGTGCCACTGCCAAGGGAAATCCAAGTCGTTCTGAGCATGGTGCCATTCACCACCAGTTCATCTCTCTCCAGGATTTAGGCTGCACAGAAAAAAACAGCTCATTCAAATCTTTTGCATGCTTTCAAGTGTGACTGTTTCTCTATGATCTTCTAAAAGTAAAAATCTTAGCGTGGGTCCCCAGGAGGTTACTTGCTGAACGTTACTGCTTTGATAGGTTTATATCTGGGTATTGCAAGACTTGATTCTAGGAGACGAAATTAGAGTGCTGTGAGAAAAGCAGAATACAGTTTTGCAGGGATGAACCCGAAAAATCGAGGCTGAGATCACTCATCAGATGGAGTTGGAGTTCTCACTCCCTCAGCACTTTTGCAGTTTCAGTTCTATTGCAAAATGTTTCTCTTCCCCTTCTCCCAGGGGAACCCTGCCCTGGTTGTCCATCAGCCCATTTGCTTTAATGCATTTCTTAGGGACAGCAAATAGGTCAAACGGCATCACAAGTTTAAACGTTCTCTTCCTTTACAGATCAAGCCTTGTTCAGAGCTGTCATTTCCTGTGAAGATCTACTTCTGCGTGACTATTTTGTCTCTGCTCAGTGTTATAGGGCTGACCATAGAGACACTCGTTCGACAGACTGAGGAAGATTTCACCATTTCTCTTATACAGTTAGTTGGAGTTGGTAAGAAACACACTCACTGTGCTTTAAAACACAGCAGTGCCAAAGTAGGAACTAAGGAATGCAATGAGCACAGAGGGAGAATTGCACACCTGCCACACACCTCTGGTTTAGGTCAGCACAAACAGAGCACTAGAAAGTTAATTCAAGAGGTTGGATTTAATTTGTTAAACCTTCCCTTTTTGAAAACAAAGGGATGTCCTTTATTTGTCTCAGAAATGTTCCTGTGCCATCTCTGCAAACAGTGGTCAGGAAAATGTTTGTTTCCAAATTATTTGTACAGACTTCTGTTTTAGCAGGTGAACTTATAAAACAAGGAAATACTGTCTGACATCTTCAGGTCTTCCTGAGGTCATAAGCACACAAAAAAAAAATCACAAGATCCATTCTTTTATTTGCTGACCATTTTTTTCATCTCAATTACTATAATAATAGCAGAAAAGGAAGTAAACTTACCGTAAAGTTTGTTTGAGCAACTGAAGTTATTATGTTACTTTGAAAACTTTTATGACCCAGGTCCCAGGCTGACATTTTTATCCCATGTGCTGAGTCCAGGAAGTACAACTCTGGGAAAACAGAAAAAAACTGTTACTTTGTCTATGGTAAGAATGAGCTCATGTTTGCAGGAGTGACCTAGATAGGAACAGCCCGTCTTTGTGCAAGGAAAGCCTCTTCCTTATGTGTGTGGTGGTTGCAGAATAGAATACTAAGGTATGTAGCTTGATGTATTTCATAAGAACATCACCTCAGAACTTTCCTGAATCAGTTCCTTTCTGGACTATAGTTTGGTGGGTTAAAGCTTGTGCAGGGGGTCAGAGCCATGAAAACAATCCTGTGGAGGTATGTGTGTGAGCAGTACCTTCCTGACTAGTCACTGGAATTGCTGTCACTGGAAGGATTCTGTAATTTCAGTTCTTTAATAAAATACCGTTACTTAATTTCATTTGCATATACTCAACATATATGTTGAACAGTGTAGTTCTAATCCAATAAAGGATACCACAGCTGCTGGTTAGTTTGGATAGTTGCTATTTTCAAACCATTTCCTCAGAAGTGATTTAAAAGTCCAGTGAATTATTTCATTCTTTGTATGCTACACACAGGAGCACTCACAGCATCTGAAGAATCGGATGCAGGCTCCTTGTTGAGAATGAAGATATGCTTTTGATTAAGGAATCTAAGTTGCACAATCTTGATAATTCCACTTTGTCATCTGGATCACGTGCACTGACAAATAGCACCACTCTGTGCTCACCTGCTAACTGACTTCTCCTTCTCCTTCCCAGTGTTCTGTGTGTACTATGTCACTAGAGGAATCCTGCAGGAGAACCGCCAGGAGCTCATTGTCTTTGTTCTTTCCATCCTGCTAGTGATGTTTCGTTCCATTATCAATTTCACAGTTCTTCCTGCTGAGCAAAAGCCAAAACTCCTGGTTAGTCTCCTGGTTTTAATTAACTTTGCTTTACTCTAAATCTTGGATGTAAAAATCTTAGAAAGGCAAGGCACCTGTGGTAAGGGCACTGGAAACAGAAAATCAGGCCAAATTATTCCTACCACTGAATAACAAAATGCACATCTCCACAATGACAAATTGTACAGTTCTATGGGTTTCTTTATGCAAGTACCTGAAAGTAACATCAGTATCAAATGACATTACTTACACAGAATTACTGCAGAATGTGTTGCCATCGGTTTACTTACTCTGCATCAGATTTTCACCTATGAAATCACTGGCCCAAAGTCACATAAATTCGACTGAATGGAACTGGAATGTCAGGTCTGTATGCAAGGACACAGCCACTAGCAACTCCTAACATCCACAAAAGCAACATTGTGTTTTTAAGAGTGATAACCTGATGCAAGGAAACAAAAAGATAGTGTTAAGGCAGGTACTGCCCATCCAGGTGACTTGTTTGCCTTCCGTAACAAAATGTAAAGAAGGAATGTACCGTGTTACTACTTCAGTAGTTGAACTTTCCCCTGCCGTGCTTCCCTTTCATGTTTGCATACTTATCACAAATGTGAGGAGATTCCTTCTTCCCTGTAGTCATCTACAAATATTTTTTTATAGAAGAGATTACAGTCAAGATTACAGCAACGCAGAATTTTCCTGTTCAACTGCTGATCAATTAACAATTAGTTAAACGTCTTCAGCAGAGTTAATGGTCAATAAGAAACAGGCATTAGAGATGCAAATTACTTTTGAGGTATGTGTCCTAGCTTTCAGTTTATGTATTAAACAAGGATAAACAAGTAAACCAGCAAAATCTGGTCTAGAAGATGCACAGTTAAGGAGATTTTAGTAAAAGTAAGTGATTACTCTTCTGCTTGTAACAGTAACTTCTGCTTCCTGAGCAAAATTACTGAGCCAGAATAAAATAATGCTTACTAGTTTAAACATTCTCATATCAATGTAATTATGAAGGACATCTTACCACTTCAGCTGTCTTTCTCCTTGAGGGTAACGTAGGCCAAAACAACTGATGTGAGTTTACACTTAGTACCAGGTGCTTGCACCAAATGCTTGATCAGGCTACACTTTCTGCCACTTAACGGTGTGCAAACTGTCATGTTCAACTTTTTTATTTTAAATGCTATTAATAAGTAGTTCAGTTCTTCTTACCCTTTTATTCCTTCATTTGTAGTTAGAAGATTTAAAGATAGAACTATCACTGTTTCAGCATGACCAGTCACATGCTTATTTCTCTTTCTCATCAGGCCCGCTTCATTCTCATCCTCTTGGTTGGCTCCTTTGATGTCATCTGTGCCATCATCCTTATTCAGAGTCAAAGCATGATGGCCTTTCGAGTGGGTGGTGCTCTAGAAAGCCTACAGTCACAATACTTCATGCTGAATCTCTGTTTTTCCATGCTGACCTTTGATCTTCAGGCACAGGTATAGAACTCTTCTTCCAGGTTCCATTTTCTCATCCTGTTGAGAATATCTTAGAATTACAGCTAGCTGAACTGAACTGAGGGCTACCTAAAGCAATTCTGTCTGTATCTTACCTGCTAGGTAAGCTTAGCCTGATAATGGTAATTTTCCAGGTGTTTTTTGGTGTCAAGTATTTTGGTGAGATATACAGTCTCACGCTAAAAATGTCAGCAAATCTTTGCCTCTTCTCTTTCAGCTCTGCTTGTGTATTCTGCTGATAAGCCTCCACGAGATCACCCTTCTACATAACATCATTTCAGCAACAGGGATTCTCTGGGCTTGCCTGAAAGTGACCGTTAGCATCATCGCGGTAAGTGTGAAGCCAACAGCTATGCTATCCAGGATAATCAACTTCTGAATCTAGAAGTTCCTGCCCTCGAGCAGCAATCACAAGCTAGCAAGTGACAACTGTCCCTTTCTGCATAATATTGCTAAGTGGAAGGGATCTAGAATGGATCCCAATAGAGAACGAGAACACCAACAATACCAAGGTTTAATATAGATCTGTGTCTGTCCCCTGAGTGTGAAGGTGAACCACCTCAAGCTATCATTACTCCTTTCTGAGGGACATACTTTTATTTTCAGTCCTTGACATCTGTGGAACATACAGACAGGATGACAGTATCTTCAATATTTCTACCTCTATGACAAGGTTAATTGAAATTGTCAACTGTCCTCCAAATTACTGCAAAGATGGATATGCAGACACAGACTGCACAGACCTCAGATCCTTGGGAACAACACCAAAAAGAGGAGTGGTCCTTTACTGGGGCAACTTCTTTAAAGATGAATGAGAACTTTCAGTTTAATGTAAGGATTTGTATATATCTGGTCTTATTTTACAGATTTTAAAAGAACTGAAGCCTCTAGTGTGGATTTTTCTCTGTCAGAACGTACCTGAAGTAGTTTTTCTCATCTACCTGCTTTACACGGTAATCCATCAGACTTCCTTGCTTGATAACTGGGAACAAGGCTGGAAGCCTCTGCTTTGTTACTGGATCCTTGGGTGCAAAACATGGTGTCCCCTTCCTGAGCATACATCCTCATTGTAGCTCATTTTAGAATCAATGAGAGCAGCAGCCATGTCCAGCATCTTTGGAATGTACTTTCCAGACAGGAATCGTGTCAAATTGCTCCTGAACTACTTAGTTAAAGGGAGAGGCTTTGGAACTCACTGCAGCTGGCAAGGTATCTGGAATGATTAGAGAAAGACAAAAGAAAATCTTCCAACACAAGGTACATAGTTCTTCTGAAATACTTCCTCTCCCTCACAGTGGTACCACTGTTTGACCAGCTGCAGGGTCTGAAGTCATATTTTAAAGAATATCTTACATAGTATCCCAGATGCTGATCTACATGTAGGCAAAACAGGAGACACTGTAAGCTCAACAAAGCTCAGTGTTGAGCATTTTTTGGCACTATAATAGTGATAAAGCACTTATCACTGGAGCAGCCCAACAGCTCCCACAACACGTGGGAAAAGAGGCAAGGAAGAAGAAAGGGTAAAGCTGATTATCCATCATGGGAAGGGCCAAATGCTATTAGCAGCCAGTACTTTGTTTCTCATACTTCACTTCCAGACGCTGACAAAAGTCCATTGGCTGCAATCCTTGTGGTTTTATTAAAGGCTGAAGTCAAATCAGGTTCTTCCAATTATGTACAGACCTCTTTGATTTGGAAAAGCACAAAATGACCACACACTGACTTTGGTGGTTACGTTTGTATTGCAGTTAGGAATGAAAACACAGATAAGAATAACATAGCAATTTGAAAATAGCTAGATCTACTTATGGTTTTGCATAGCAATACCTAAGAGTGCCTAGCAAATGAGGGCACTGGCATACATAGTAAAACTCTATCAGATAAAGCTGTAATACAGTCACTTATCACATGACTTCTTCCAGAAACTTAGTGATCGATTGTATTTTATGAGTTCCAGGTTTTTGATTGTTGCATCTTTATTTTCCTACAGGTGATAAAAGAGTGGGGCAGAGGGAATTCTTACACTTTAGAGGCTGCTTTCATTACTGGCTCTTGCATTTCTGTTGCAATAAAATCTGTTTTGTTTTGGGCATTGATTCACGTCTACCGTGGCTTTGGGCAAGGACTAAGAGAAAGAAGTAAGTACTCAAAAAGGTTAACTTAACTAAGAAGTCTGTGGCCTGTTGGACTCACAATGAAGTAGAGAGCTTGCCAGGCCAGGAAAATAGTTAGGAATAGTCATGATAAAAGGCAGGTCTTTATTGCTGCAGCCATCAGCAGCTTGGATCAAATATGTGTGATATCTCCTTGAAGAAAATTGATATTTGTTAAATCCACACAAGAACTGCTGCCATCCAGAAAAACAGATCTGTGGGGAAAAAGTATCCTCTATACTAAATAGATGCAATTCTTCTTTATCATGCAGTGTAAATGTCTAAAATAAGAGGGATAAAGGGACCTAGATAGCCACCAGTCTGAAACTACCTATCTCTTATAAAAGGAGGACATAAATGCAGATGGGCGTTGTTTTTGACTGATCTGCCTCTTCCTTTCTTCCCAGTGTTTTCTTCCTATGGAAGGATCGACTCCTGAGCATCCCCTTTGCATCCTAACTGCAGCTCTTACAGAGTGAAAGCATAGCTGAGAAGTTCTGATCAAGTGCATGCATTTGGAACGTAAGATAATGGCTCTGTTTCACAAAGACAGAAGAAGTTTCTTTGAAAAGCATCTTCACATTTCTTAGATTGTTTCATGCTATGGGATTACAGCAGTGCAGCTGGTAACAGCTTATAAAGCAAAGTATGCTCATGAAAACAAGAATAATCCTCTCACGCTCAGTGGGTTCTGCTGACAGGACACTGCAGCTTTCACTCACGTTCCTGATGTTGCTTTGAGCTGCGGGAGGTTCACAACACACATGTGAGTGGGGCACATCGTTAATATAAATGCTCATTTTGATGATGCTCCAACATAAGAATTTGCACGCCAGTCTTTACTTAGTGAGGCTGGAAGTGGAGAGCCCTGCCTCCATTTCTCAGCTCAGACCTGTCACCGAGCAGAGGTCCTAAGAGCTCCACAGTACATGCTTTCTGTTCTGCAGCTCATGTATGACTTCCACGAGCTGTTTAGACAACAGCTGCATTCTCTGATATCCACTGTGTCTGTGTGACTGCTTATCCCCAACATGATAGCTAGAGCTCTTGTTCCTGCCCTGACTTACCAATACTTCATGATATTTTTTTAAATCTCAGCTCACATCAAATCTACACAAGGTCATTTCACGCCCTCTAACGTATCTAACCACTGTGCCATTTCACAACAACAGGTGACTGTTGTATTAAGTCTCTACTATTGCAATTTAAAAGTTTGGTATTTTACTGATTGCAACCTTTAGCTACTGGTTATGTATTTTTTAATAAAGTTTAAACACAGTTTGGGTATGGGTTATTTTTTCTTAAATTAATGCGATGAGCTCAATGGAAAGCTGCTTTACAAATGAAGATGGAAGAGCTTGAAACTGCGACTCCTGTGTGCTGTGAACCGCACTGGATGAAGTAGCTGAAATAGTCTGTTGTAGCTTTGTAGGGAAATTTGTAGGGAGGATCTCAAGACTTGTATAAAGAGCTGAGACTAGGATGGGAAAAATACTGGCAAAAAACACATTTTATAGGCAGCACAACGGAGACACGAAGAGGTTAATGGTCTATGGTCAGCCTGCACACAGCTGGCACTTTCAAGAGAAAGCACGAGAGTACCAGCTGATGGCTGTGACTTCATTCCACAAGTCCAAATGTGACTATGTATTGTTGCTGAAATGGAGGAAAACAATTAAGCATATTCAGTACTTTTCTAAAATAAGCCAGCATGCAGCAGGTCTTGCCCACAGCAGTAGCAATAAGGGAATACTTATTTTTTGCAGAAGGTCTTTACTTGGCCAAAACTACCTGAAAAAAGAAGGCTTGTACCATGCTTTTTTTTGTCCTCATTGCAAAATAATGGCACTGCTATTTCCCTGCCTCCTGCATAGGCAATAGAGTGCCATTGTCACAGAAATGGTGGCTTATCTTTTTGGCTATAGACTGGAAGAGCTTGTAGCTAGCCAAGCATAAGATGGAAAACTCTTGCTAAAGCACCTCAGATAGCAAATAAATTCCATTTAAAAGCTGCTATATTTACCTGTATATGATATCTCCATACGTTTGTCAATCATTTGGCCTGCATCAGTTGTTGGAATAGGTTACAGATTACATTATGAAATCATGAAAGAACATTTAATCATAATTGTCAGCCATAAGTTTTATGGAAAAAGTGTCTGGAACTTGATCACAGCATGCAAAGGAGAGGACAGAATGGGCATTTAAACTACAATTTCACTCAAGTTCATTATATATCCAGATATCTGAGATTATCTCAGATTATTGCCCATGTCTATTTCCTCACTCACTTTTCTACTTTTGGACCTTCATAAAATTAGTTAATGAAGCCCAATTAGCTGGAGGGAAGATTTTTTATTTTATTTATTTTTTAAACTTGCACAGCAAATCCGGAAGCTTTTATTTTGAAACTTTTGGGAAAAGTCTTGCATCAGACAGACACAATCACAGCAGCCTTACATACGTCTAGAAAACAGAAGCTACTGTGCCATGAGACAATGCACCAAAACCCCACACTGAATATTTGTCTTCCAAGCAAGTAATTGTGTGCACCTAACTTACTGTCCTCAGAAGTCAAAATTCTGTTAAACAAGTTCAACTTTACAAAAAGATTTTATTGAAAGGATTGAAAAATATTTGTTTTCAGCAATATTTAAAACAAGTTTCAAAGCATTAACAATATGTAACAGAATTTTTCCTCTTAAAAATTAAGTACACTCTGCTTTACACCGTACTACATTGGTTTTTAAAGTTTAATAGAGAGTGACTTCGTTGTTGTTCTTGTTTTTTAAACACATCAATTTCCAAGCTTCCATTTTGGCCCTTTGTAGTCTGGAAAGGGTTGATAGGTACAGTGATATTTCCAACCCCTCTATTAGAAATACCATTCATAATCAGCAAAACTCTGTTCTACTGTCACAGTTTAAACCAGTTCAGTAAGCTACTCTTATTGCCAATATTACCAAGTCTGCATTAGAGCTTTTAGCACATTCAGATGTAGTTAGAACACAACACCCACACTTGAAGCACTTAAATAATGCAAAATCCTTGAGTGCTGATCAAACTTTACTAGCCTGCTTGCAAATTGCTGGTTTGCAGATTAAGGGCCTTGAAAAGGGACTTTGTACAGTTAGATAATTTGTAACATATTAACACAATTTCTTTTGTGTTTTTATATGAAGCTAGCATAATTATAATCAAAGGTGTTTTCCTGAAGAAAAAGCAACAGACTGAAGCCATCTCATGACTTACTTTCCTGTGGTCAGTGACTGTAGCTCTACTAGGCTGAGCAGGGATCCAAGTAACATCGTTACCAAGCAGGAAAAGTTGTATAGCAAAACTGCAGAAGCCTCAAAGCCAGCAATTCCATTGCAGTATGTGATAAATTTAAGGACAACTCCAGCAGATCTAATTTAGAGAAAGTAGTTAGCTACGTTTTGTCTGCAGCTCATGAATGTGCACTCTGCAAATTAAAGTTCTGCAGTTTAATCAATGAAAGCTTTACTATTATAAAAGCATAAATAAAAAGTGCTGAATATAGTTTCATCTTCACAAAAAAAATAAGATAGATAAGGCTCATTAATTTTACCTCACCTTTACCAAATGATTTCCACCTTCCTCGTGTGCCTGGTATTCTGCTCATTTGTCATTAAACAATAGACTTTTATAGCCACTATACCCTGTGCCTCCTCTCAGTTATTGCATGATTAAATAAAAGAATAGTTTCAAAGCAAAAAGTTGGATGATTCCACAGCTCAAAAAGTAAACAGCTATTTAATAACTGAATACCCCACCTAGAAAACCCGTAAGCAGCATCAAAACAGTGATAAAACAATTACTGCAGATTCAAGTGAAAGATAAATGTCAAAAGCTAATCTTGACATTCTCCAGGTTATCACAAAATTCTTCTGTTTAGACCAAAGTAAACCAATATTCTATCCTACAAAATTTACAAACTGAATTTATATTAACATCATTTCATTGTGATTTTTCTCATTAACTAAAGGTTGCTCCTCTTTTATGGAAAAGTGCTCTCATCTCGATTAATAAAATTAGACAGACTAGGGCAGCATCCACAACATAAGAGACATTATTTGAACCATCAGAGCACAGCACGTTAGGCAGAGTTTGGGAATCAATACATTTCCCACTACCACTTTGGACCACGTGTACGACATAAAACAACCATGAAAAGTTATCATTGCTTCTCGCTCCACCTTCAAGGAAATCCCACCTCGTTCAGTAAGAAATTCCCTCTCCCACAGTGCAATGACACAGGCTTAAATTCAACTGATCACGTCCATTCCTTCAACGGCCAATGCAGCAACGACGCGAAAATGCTGAAGTTCAGATGTGTGACCATGAGACTGCACCACAGAGAACATAAATGTAAACATTATACGTGGGTTTGAGTTTTTCAGTTAAATTACAGTACAAACCCTTCTTTTTTTTTTTTCCCAAACTAGGTTGCTGTTGTTCTTTTTCATAAAAGCACATACAATAAAATATGTACATAGAGAAGTTAGAAACATTTGAAAGCATCTTAAAAAAGTACATACGAGACTTAGAATATCTTGAGTGTGCTGAAGGCACCATTGTTACTCTGCTGGGAATGTGTCCTCCCATTTATCAGCCTACCAATGCAGTATCCCTGACTGTATTACTGAGCACCCAGAACTGGAAAATACCTGTGGAATTTGAGGGCATTCAGGCCTAGTACAGGACACTGTTGTCTTCAAGACAACAGCAGCACTAGGCAATACAGTATTCCAGATTCCTCTCAAATATCTGGAGCTTTTTTCACTATTATTTTTTATCACTATCATTATACAGTCCCTAATGTTACCATTTGTTCCAGAGCATCAAACAAAAATAAGCACGCTAATGTTTCCCCCCAACAGGAACTGCAGAGCTACAAACAAGAGCTCAGCAAGAAAAGTGAAGATGACTGAAATAATCAACTCAGCCCAAGCTAAATGCTTGTCCATGCTGTTTGTTGGTGATATTTACGCAGTGCTGACAGCAAAGGGTCAAACACTGTTCAGACAAATGGGCACTGTGCGTATGCATGTGTTTGCACATGTGTTATTTACATATATAAATGTGTGGAGTTCTTTTCCCTAGTTCCATCTACTCAAAAAACATTCTTCTTGGACACAAGATAGATATCTATCTTATATAAACCTTTTTTTTCCCCTAGATTTGTCTATTAATAAAAACATTCGTGATAGGAGTTCCTTATTCACAGTTTTTGTCACACTTGCAAGAAAGAAGAAAGTATGTTAAGCACTGTTTTGATGGAGAGGTGTTCTGGGCAAGTTGTATCTAAGCCAGATAAAAGAGTAAAGCACTTCTTTTTTCAAGCCAATTTCTGTAGAGCCTTCATGTGCATAGAATTCTTAACAAATGGAATTACATACATACCAAAGTAAACAGACTATTTTAATGCCTCTTTCCTACTGCCATTTTTCTATTACATATCTACATACAGCCTACCACGTTAGTGGTAAGTTATATGTTACAATCACATCCAAGATGCAGTCCATACCAATCAGAAATAACCCATTTTCCAATTGCTCGTTTAAAGAAAATTCAAACTGGATTACAGCAATCATAACCTCACTTCTTCCATTCTATTCCTGCTGGATAGGAAGTAGCAAAACAATTTCCAACCATCAGCAGATCAGACTGATATAAAGTATAGCACTGCGTATGTGTCTGAGATGGCAACCACACCTGTCAGCAAAAACTTATAAAACAAAACAAATCAAGCATGTAGAAGGGATACTGCCACTTTCCATTCCCAGAGTCATTAGATGTAGACACTCAAAATTCTTCTTCTTCAACAGCAAAGTTATTTTGCTTCTTCCGAACATTCCAGTGTAAACACTCAGCCAAGCTCTCAAACCAGTCGCTCACAGGATCTCGGAAACAGATCGAAGGAAGGGGATAGCAAGAGGTAGTGATGCTAATACTGCAACAACACAGGAATACCTCAGGTCAGTCAGTGGCAACAAAGAGCATTTTAATCTCTCTCTCTCTTATTCACTAGCCAACCTAGTGCTACGTTCAGCAAACTGGGTGAAATCAGAAACCAATTTACATGCACATCTAAACAGAGTGTAAACAAGCAATAAAACAACAGCGTGGACAATAGTTTTTTGATACAGTGAGAACCCACTCCTTGACATCCTGCATGGCCTTCACACACGCAGCACTGAGGCAAGGGAACATTTAAGCCACCGCCTTGGCCTTGAAATTTCAAGTTTCAGCAATATG